TGTCCTCATCTTCTTCACCTGCTTTACCTCGCGAAGAATGGCACGATTGTATCCTCCTTTAAACTACTCGACCAGGGGGGTGCCAGGGTACACGGGGACGACTCTAGTTTAGCATGGATGCTTTGTAGAGTGGAGGAGTATGATGAGGGTAATGAACAGGTCGAATCGGGGGGCGATTACGCCGCGGGTTCAACAACGAAGTTGCGCCGCGTCTGTCTACCCTTGGGTGGAAAACGCTACTTGGGGCAAGCGCGGAAGAAGTATCTAGCCCACCGTTGATAGGAGGCATTGGGCAACCTAGGGCTTGGGTTAGAAGGTCTCGCTTTCCCTCTAGAGAAATATCTTGAAAACCTCCTTTTCGTGCCCCGTTTACCACGCTCCCGCCAGTTGCTGTCTATAATCCCTATCACATGTCCCCTCGTTCGAGGGGACATGTGATAGGGATTATAGACAGCAACTGGCGGGAGCGTGGTAAACGGGGCACGAAAAGGAGGTTTTCAAGATATTTCTCTAGAGGGAATCGAGGGGACATTTGATAGGGATTATAGACAGCAACTGGCGGGAGCGTGGTAAACGGGGCACGAAAAGGAGGTTTTCAAGATATTTCTCTAGAGGGAATCGAGGGGACATTTGATAGGGATTATAGACAGCAACTGGCGGGAGCGTGGTAAACGGGGCACGAAAAGGAGGTTTTCAAGATATTTCTCTAGAGGGAATCGAGGGGACATTTGATAGGGATTATAGACAAGAGACGGCTCAAATGGGAAGGCAGCTTTGCACTTGCACCCAGGGATGGAACTGTCTGCACCATCCAATCAGCAGGCGTTCTTCGCTCTTTTTCTTACATTCAGCAATTTCGCAAGATCGCCGAATTTTCTGTGCGTGGTAAGGGGGTTAAGGGATCGCTACGCGTGCGTGTAATCCCACAACATTTGGCGTCGTCTGCAGTATTCTAAGTAGTAAAGGATGCTAGCTTTCCCTAGGCTTTGTTGCTGTTCTTCGGCTAGTCAGCGTGAGAGTAACTAACTCTATTTTTGCTTTCTTCGCTGTTTGAGAACGCCCCCGCCCCTTCGTTTTCATTTTTTCGTGGTACACTTTTTTTTTGTACGGCGGCGGGCTTTGTTGGCTTCCTCCCTCTCCATTGAATACGTGCACAAAAAAATGACCTTGTTACCAGGTAATTGTTTGATAAGTTTGACACAATTGATGGTGTGTACATCCGGCGCCGGAAGGAGATTGCTACATAAATAAGTACTTCGTATAATAGCTGTAACGGGCTGGGGACACCTACTAACTACTGCGTTCATCAGCAATAATAATACATACAGGGTAAGTACTACAGCTAGTGCTTGGGGACAACCTCCCAAGCTACAAGAAACTCTGCACTTCGCAATGCGTCCGCGACAAGTCCAGGACATTTGACCTTGGGCGAATGTCGCGAAATAACACACAAACAAACGACACACGCGAACCAAAGGACACATGACATAATACTAACACATGCGTCGAAACGTCATCAATCCAAGCTTACAAAGCCGGCAACACACCGGAGAGGGGCTGTCGATAAGCCTACAGTGGCGGTGGCGTCACCTTCACCACGTACAAAACACCCGTCCATAATTGCAATTTGCCGTGCGTTGTACTTATTATTCACTCCCCCAAGCCCCTCCAAGCGACGAAAACCCAACCCCGATGGCAAACACCCC